CCAGGAGGCACTGGGCTCAGCCAGGGACTCAGAAGGACGGGGCTTGGTCTGGGGGGACGCTCACCGTCAAAGTCCACGGTGCCGTCCCCATTGAGGTCCACGTCTTGGAGTATCTCGTCCAGCTCAGGACCCACCAGTGGCTCCCCCAGCAGAGCTGGTGCTGCCTCCCGCAGCTCTGCCACCGTGATCCGCCCATCCCTGTCCCTGTCAAACTGCAATTCCGGCAGGACTCAGCCCTCCTACCCTCTTCCTGCACCCACCACCACCTTGCTGGACACCCCCACTTCCTCCGTCCAAACCCTCCTCCTCCTCCCAGACTGAGGCCGTGAACCCCCTGCCTTTGGGGAAGTCCTCCTGGGGAGACCCCCAGCCGGGAGTGAGCCAAACTCTTTCCAACCCCCTTCACAGTCCTAGTGCCACCAGCAGCAGGGCTCGGGCCCTCCAGAGGCTGAGGTTCCCAGTCTCCCGTGAGGCCAGTAAGGATGCCACCCAGCATCCACCCACCCACCACCCCCCCGGGCTCCCCCGCACCTCGCGGAAGGCAATCCGCAGCTCCCGCAGCCCCAGCATGTGTGCTGTCTCCTCCCTCAGCTTCGGGCCCATCATCTCCACGAATTCCTCGAAGTCCACACGGCCACCCACTGCAGACCCAGGCAGAGGGTCACAGTGGTGAAGACTGGGGCCCAAGGAGGGACCCCAGCTCCTCACCTGCTCTGCGTCCAGAAAGGATACCAGCTTCCATGTCCCCAGGGGTCGGAGGCTGCAGCCCAGGGCTCTGCTGAGGGCAAGATGCTCAAGGGCTCTCAGTGAAGCACCAGGTGTGGGGGACTGAGACCAGGCTGGGGAACCAGGCAGCCCCGGCCTCAAAGCCTGGCTCTCCCACTGATGCTGTGACCTCAGATGACTCGCTGGACCTGCCTGCTCACTGGAGGACAGGGTGCTATTGCAGTTGGAGTTCATGGTTGTAAAGTGCTGGAACCCCAGAGGTAGCAATAAAGACACCTTAGAAGCATACACAGGTAGTTTCTGGATTCTAAGAGGCCGTCAATTATAAAAAGCATCAATGGTCCACGAATAGCTTCGGGAGAAAGAAAGAGGCATGACACTGAATATTCACATCAATTGTAAATCATGTTCCATTTTGGGAACTGTAAGGGAAAAAATTGCTGGTGTCCTGGGATGAAAGGAACCTGATATTTGATAAATCAGCTGTGGTGTTGGAGAAGACTCTTGAGAGTCCCTTGGACTGCAAGGAGACCCAACCAGTCAATCCTAAAGGAAATCAGTCCTGAATATTCATTGGAAGGACTGATGATGAAGCTGAAACTCTAATACTTTGGCCACCTGATGTGAAGAGCTGACTCATTGGAAAAGACCCTGATGCTGGGAAAGATTGAAGGCAGGAGGAGAAGGGGACAACAGAGGATGAGATGGTTGGATGGCATCACCAACGCGATGGACATGAGTTTGAATAAGCTCCGGGAGTTGATGGACAGGGAAGCCTGGCGTGCAGCAGTCCATGGGGTCGCAAAGAGTCGGACACGACTGAGCGACTGAACTGAACTGATACTCACACAAGGGCTGCCCGTCGGACATTTAATCGCAAGCAGTGGCCAAGGTTCTCTGCCGCTCGGCCTCACCAAACCTTAAAAGACTCTTTTCAGGATGATCAGAGAGAGGCAGAGACAGCCCAGGTGGCTGGTACCAGCCCAGACCGTTTTATCTCAGTCAGAGATGAGGGTCCCCAACTCGAGTCCCGAGGACCTCTCGTGGATCACCTGGTGCCTTCCTCGTCCCCCTACCCTCCGTGTCCTGGGGCCAACGTCGTCAAACTGTCCTGGAAACTGCCATTCCACCCCCCTCACTCCACCACCACCCCGTCTGACTGCCAGAGCCACCGCCCAACACCCCTCCGTTCGGTAACCTTGAGACTGGGAAAGGACCCCGGCGGCAAAGCCAAGTGGCTCCGCCCACCCGCCCCGCCCCACCCCGGGGAGGCGGGGTCAAGCACTGACTCCGCATCTTGACGTGTTGAGAGACCTCGATGAGCTCCATCTCGGTGGGCATGTAGCCCAGCGTCCGCATGCACTCGCCCAGGTCCCGGTAGCCGATATAACCGTCGTGGTCCGTGTCAAACTCCTCGAAGGCGGCCTGAAGCTCTGCAGGGGAGGGAGGTCAGGCGCAGCCAGCCAGACTCTGAGACCCCGCCCACCCGCCGCTCCCAGCGGGGGGCACTCACCATCCAGCTCCTCAGGGCCCAGCTCTCGGTCCTGCAGGGGCATAGTCCAGCTTGTCCCCGGGGCCAGTCAGGGCTCTGGCCAGCCTTGCTCCTCCAGCCCCGGGCCACGGTGGCCTGGGCAGGGCCCGTCCCACAAGGGCCGGAGAAGGCAGCGAAGTCCCAGGAGCAGAGCTGACCCCGTTCCTGCTCCTGGGGGCCCCGAGCTGCCACAGACCCCCTGGGTTAGCGGTCTAGCTCTACCCACTGCCCATGCCGCCGGCCCCCCCGCCCCCCACTGCAGGAACCCTGCCCCCACAACCCGGCTCCTGAGTCTGGAGCAGAAATTGGAGGAGGCCTGAGTGTTAGGGGAAGGGTGGGCTGAACCTGAGCCCATGAGTCCCAACCCCACCCCCAGGCCCCCCAAACTTGGTCCGGGCCCCCCTGACCTTCCCGAAGATGCGGTTGAGCAGGGGCCCATACGTCCTCTGAGCAGCATCGTGCTGGGGGCCAGGAGGGTGCCGGTGGGACTGGCGACGAGGGGCCGGCCCCTCCTGCCCTTCTCCGGTCCTAGAGGGGTTCTTGCTGCTCCCCGGGGCCTCAGGGCCCTGCTTGGGGGTCTGCTCCCCAGAGCTGCCGGTGACCTTACGGGACCCTCGGAGCCCCTTCTCCCTCTTGCTGCTTCTCTTCCTCGTCAAGGGGGGCCCCTCAGCGCCACTACTGGAAGCCAGGACCCCCTTGGGGGGCTTCTGTGGTCGAGGGGCTGGGCCAGGGCCATGCCGCCCCCTCACCTGCTCTTCAGCCATGTGGAGAGGGGTGACAGGGCTCAGAGAAGTGGCACCAGGGAGCACCCCTGCTTCTCAGGACCCATAAAGCAGCTTATACTCTGCCACCCCGAGGGCTGATGACCAGGGATCCGGCCCTGAGGGGGATTAGGGTAAGTGAGTCAGGCAGTCCAGGCCCTAATCCCGCCCCCTGCCTGCAGGTGGCCAGATCGGCAGAGCTGATCAGTCAAGGGAAACATCCTCAGCAACATGGGGTGCCAGGACAGAGTGGCCGCAGTGAGCTTCGGACTCTAGCTCTGCCACTCATGAGCTGGGAGACCCAGCACACTCACCTCTCTAAGTCTCAGTTGCCTCACCTATAAAATGGGAGCAGTATTGCTGAAGCATCAGAGAGCCCAGTTGTCTGACATGAGCAGGACTCAGCTACCACAGGACATGGGGAAGCAGCTCAGGCAGGAGGAAGAGTGTGTACAAAGGTGGGAGGTGGGAGAGAGGACAAGTGACCCCTCTGTGGGTGACCTCCCGACTGGAGCAGGGGGTGTGTGAAAGGAAGGAAGAGAGGCCAGATCATAGGGGCTTGGGATCACGGATGATTGAGAGTCATGGGGATGACATCAGAGGAGGTACACCCTGGGGGACGCAGAGCCTGCTCTGAGCTGGAGGGGCCCAGGCAGGGGGGTTTCGGCCATCCAGCCCTGTCAAGGATGGGGGGCCTGGCTGGTCACTGGCCCCACTGGGCTAGGGTTAGGGTTTCCCCTGCGAGCAGCCCCATGAAAGATTGATGTCCTCTCAGCTTGGGTTTCATGCCAGCAGCCTTAGTGCCGCAGGGCACCAGGCAGCAGGCCCCGGCGTGGGGCAGACACCCCCTGCTCCTTCCAGCCAGCGGCCTGCACCTCACAGGTAAGCCAGGCCTCGCCAGTTGGGGCCTCAGGGGGTGCCCTGGGCTCTGATCCAGGAAGGACTGGAGCTTGCAGAGTGGGGTCTGCCTGAGTAAGGGCCCTGGGGGTGGGGAGACCACAGGCTAAAGGTCAAATGGCTTGAACTATGGGCCACAGGCAGGACCCAGGCTTTCCGGGACATCTGGTTTTTCCACCTCAGAGGGAGCCTCCCTCTCCCCACTAAGGAGGTAGGGTGAGGGCAGCAGGCCTCTTGGGACTCAGCCACCCTCATCCTCATCATGCTGCTGAGCCCCTTACCCCCTTTTCTAATGAGTAACCCCAGGGGGCAAGGGAGCCCCCCCTCTGCCCCAGACTCCCTGTCCACTCTTGGGCCCAGGCGACCCTAAGCCTTTCCCTTTGGAATCTTTTTGTTTGTTTGTTTTGGGTGCACCACATAGCTTGCAGAATCTTAGTTCCCCTACCAGGTATTGAACCCCTGTCCCCTGAAATGAAAGCATGGATCTTTAACCACTGGACCACCAAGGAAGTCTGAATCTCCAACTCTTGAACCCAGGATGCAGACAAAAAGGGAGCCTGTGATGCTTTGACCATTTGGGGTGGTTTTGTTTTGGCCGCACCATGCAGTTTGAGGGATCTCAGTCCCCCCACCAGGGACTGAACCCAGGCCCAAGGCAGGAAAAGGCCAGGTCCTAACTAGTGGACCACCAGGGATTTCCCAAGCGGTTTCTAAACTGTTCCCTGGAGTCCTAAGGGTGCTCGCCCTCCTTTAATCTGAGCATGCTCTTTTACTTCACATAGGAGTTCTGCTATAAGATCATATTGAAATGAATTTGAAAGCCTATGGTTTGGTCTGTGTGGATGCAGCGGGATCCCAGGTAACAGAATAATTAGAGTCCTGGTGCCCACATTCCTATCTCTGACCTTGCATAGGTCACCTTCCTCTGCTTACCTGTAGGACGGATTGCAGGAAGGCTAGGTAAACTAATCTGTTTAAAGGCCCTGGCAAAGGCTAACCACTCCAAAGGTGATGATGATGGCCCAGAGAGGGACAGCGACTTTCACGGAGAGGCTCAGCATCCTCTCTCTCGTTTCCAGTCATTCATGCCTTCATTGATTCACCAGGTGCCCACTCCGTGTCCAGTAAGACACTGGGGACCCCAGATAGACGCTGCTATGGAAGCCAACCTGGGTGCCCCTGGCCGCTGGCCCCGCACAGAGCTCGACGACGAGGACCACCCCCAGGGTGGCTGGGACACGGCCTTCCTCGTGGCCCTGCTGCTCCTGGGGCTGCCCGCCAACGGTCTCATGGCGTGGCTGGCCGGCTCGCAGGCCCGGCAGGGCGCGGGCACGCGGCTCGCCCTGCTCCTGCTCAGCCTGGCTCTCTCTGACTTCCTGTTCCTGGCGGCAGCGGCCTTCCAGATCATGGAGATCCAGCATGGCGGGCACTGGCCACTGGGGACGGCCGCCTGCCGCGTCTACTACTTCCTGTGGGGGGTGTCCTACTCTTCCGGCCTCTTCCTGCTGGCCACCCTCAGCCTGGACCGCTGCCTGCTGGCGCTGTGCCCTCGCTGGTACCCTGGGTGCCGCCCAGCCCGCCTGCCCCTCTGGGTCTGTGCCGGGGTCTGGGTGCTGGCCACCCTCTTCAGCGTGCCCTGGCTGGTCTTCCCCGAGGCCGCCGTCTGGTGGTACGACCTGGTCATCTGCCTGGACTTCTGGGACAGCGAGGAGCTGCCGCTGCGAATGCTGGAGATCCTGGGGGGCTTCCTTCCTTTCCTGGTGCTGCTTGTCTGCCACGCACTCACCCAGGCGGTCGCCTGCCGGCCCTGCCGCCGCCAGCAGCCTGGGGCCCCGGCCTGCCGCGGCTTCGCCCGTGTGGCCAAGACCATTTTGTCAGCCTACGTGGTCCTGCGGCTGCCCTACCAGCTGGCGCAGCTGTTGTACCTGGCCTTCCTGTGGGACTTCTACCCCGGCTACCTGCTCTGGGAGGCCTTGGTCTACTCTGACTACCTGATCCTACTGAACAGCTGCCTCAGTCCCTTCCTCTGCCTCCTGGCCAGCGCCGACCTCCGGGCCCTGCTGCACGCCATGCTCGCCTCCTTTGCAGCCGCTCTCCGTGAGGAGTGGCCGGGCAGCTTCATGCCAGCTGAGCCACAGACCCCAGTGGACTCTGGGGATCAGACGGTACCAGGGCCAGTGGCTGAGGCCCAGCCACAAGTGAACCCCGAGGCCCAGACCCAGGTGGACCCCGTGGCCCAGCCACAGGTGAACCCCGAGGCCCAGACCTGGGTGAACCCCGCGACCCAGCCACAGGAGGACGACGAGAGCCAGCCCCAGCTGGATTCTGGGGCCCAGTCACAGGCAAGCCCCAAGGCCCAGCCCCCCGGGCCCACTACCAGCTCAGACCCCAGTGCCTGTGAGGAAGCCTCCTCCACACCAGCCATGGATTACACCCTAGAGGCCCCCGTGAACCCGGCCGCGCCTGCTGCCTCTGAGGGAGAAGGCCCCAGCGGCGCTCCCCGAGAAGAGGCCCCGGGCTCGGGCCCCACGTGAGGGCTCGGGAAAGTCCAGGCCCGCCAGGACAGCAGAAGAGCCGGGGGAGATGGAGGAACCAGCCCATCAGAGAGGAGGACGGGTACTGTGGGGGAAGTTCACGTGGAAAACCTCTACCGAGTCCCTTGGGCCTGGCAGACGGGACTTGGGGGACGTGAACATGAAGCAGCCAAAATCCCGTACGGTTTGTTGAATGTCATGTCCCTGGTCCCAGCAAGCTCTTGCAGGCTTGGTCCCTACACGGTGGCCCAGCACCGCCTCCCCATGCAGGCTACCACAGGTGATGGCGTCCTGTGGGTTCGGCTCTCCAGTGCCCTCCAGGCCCCACAGACAGCCCCCTCCTTAGCCTCGGTCCTGCAGGAGAAAGATGCGCAGGGTGACTTCCTCAGGCTTGACCCGACCTTCCTTCCATCCTTCCCTCCCTGCCGTCCTCCCTATGCCGACCTCTCACCTGGATACAAGGAGCCCAGGAGGAAGTCCCTACAGAGAAGGGAGGCATGCAGGAGCCATCGGGAGCCCGGGGCCTTAGCGGCCCACAAGCAGACTTGGCAGCCTTCTCCTCCAATCCCCCACCCCAACAGGCAGTGAGGCTGGGGCCAGACTTCCTTCAGCAAGGTGGTGAGCACAGAGGCAAGAGCAAGCAAGCCTGGATTCCAATCCGGCTCCCGGTGACTCTGGACAAGCCGCTTCACCCTCCGAGCTCCTGTTGCATCTGGTGTCGTGAGGATTAAATGAGAAGGTGTGTGAGGTGCTGGCAGGAACTGGCACACAGAAGGGGCTCAGTGAACAGATGCTTCGTGGACATCCAGGGATGCAGGGGCTGGGGATGATGGAAGGAGTGCCCTGGTCCTGCCTCTGCCTGAGCCTCTTCCACACTCTCAGTCCAGATGCAGAGACGGGAAGATGTCCCAGCAGAAAACTCCGGGAACCAGTGGCTCCAGGGACAGCACAGGGCCCTTGGAGGTCACACAGTGTCTCCAAGCAGAGCCGGCCTCTTCCGTCTCCAGCTGCAGACCCTGCAAGAAAAACTAGGAAGTGCTAAAGGTCTATTTTCAGACTCCCCCACCCCACTTCCTTTTCATACCCATCACTCTCTTCTGGCACTCACCCCACCCAGCTTTCTCCCAGTCACTGGGGTTCTAAAACCATGAACTCTTTCTCCTTTCACCCCCACCCCCCACCCTTTCCCTTAAGCTCAGCACTGTGACCTTTATAAGCTGAGGGGTGCCCTTACCAGTGGGTGTAAAGGACAATGACCTTTTAAGTGCTACCCTTCCCAGCAGTGCTTGCTACACAGGCAGGCTGAAGTGGTTTAGTACGATCTGGGTTCTGGTTCCCAGGCCTGTCTTTGCCTCAGTTTTCTCCTCTGTAAAATGGGGTGATGATGTTCCCTTTGCAAATTTGGCTGTTGTGATCATTAACCAAACTCAGGGATGGAAGCAGGCTGGGTGGTGGTGGTGGTGATACTAGCAGCATAATCATAGTACTTCCTGGAATTCTGGCCACTGAAGCTGGTGGGAGAGAGATTTCTGGACAGGCACAAATTTGTTGAATTCATTCATTCAGCAAATATTTATCAAGCACTTGTCAAGTGCTTTTCCAGTCAGCCTTCCATTTTGAATGAGATTAGGGCATGGCCTCCAGTGCCCCTCAGAGGCTGTTTGAATCCTGGTTCTCCACAACTCACCAGGGGTGTGAGCCTCAGCAAGGCTCTTGGCCTCTTTGAGACTCAGTTTCCTCATCTGTAAAATGGGAGTAATAATAGTGGTTCCATTTTCTTAGTGTTAATCCCTGCGAAGTTCACAGATCCTGCCTGGCACAGAGTAAGTGCTTAATAATTTTTAGCCATTAGTTTGACTATGCCAGTGGCCATCCCTGGGTCTCACTCAGGCCCGGGACAGTGCTGACCCCCCAGAGCCCATGTGGCAGCATCCTGCCCACCAGGCATTGTGCCCCCCCCACAGCCGCCTCCTCCACTTTCCAAATGTTTTCACACTCCCCGCCCCATTGGACTTGTACACTTCCTGAGGGCAGGGTCTGTGCTATGGCCCCCTTGCAGAGTGCCCCTCCTCCTTCTCCCAGATAGGGATCCTAAAGCCTTTTCACATGGCAGGCATATCAGGGATTAAATCCTCAGTGCCAGCCACCTGGCTTCAACTCTGGTCCATCCTCCTAGCCCCACCTCTTGAAGAATCCCTCCTTCAAGGTCCCAGGAGGGACCCCCACTCATAATGGGTACTTGCTATCCAGAAGAAAGAGCAGCATCATGAAGGGTTTTGTGAGATAAAGAGGAGTTCTCCTGCTAGCCCACAGAGGAAGGCTTTGTGTTGGAGGAAACCTGTATCCCCAAGGCCAGAGGGGATGAAAGGAGGGCTTACCCCCCACATTCCACAGCCCCTCCACCTTACTCCTAACATACTCAATGGAGCTGGGCTCCTGTGACCCATTGGAAGACTCGCCTTCTACAGGTGAGAGACACACTTCCCTCTCCTTCATAGGGACCAGACATGGACTCTGAGAGCTGTGAATATGAACATTTTTCAATTATGCATTCAGAGCTACTGTTCATTCATTCATTCAATATACATTAACTGAACACAGACTGTGTGCTAGGTCTTGTTCTAGGTACTGGGGATCCAGAGAGAAACAAGGGCAAATGTGGTCCTCAATCTGCTGACATCCTAGTGGGACGAGGCAGACAAACAGCAAATGCACAGATAATTAGGGAATTCCCTGGCACTCCAGTGGTTAGGACTCTCATGTTCACTGCTGACGGTGTGGATTTGATTCCTCATCAGGGAACTAAGATCCCACAAGCTTCTCAGTGCGGCCAAAAATAAAAAATATATGAAAGCAAATATACAATAGTTATACAATATAACACAAGGTAGTGATTAAGAAAATACAGCGACTGAACTGAAGCCTCCGAGGGTGGGAGGGGGATGGATAGGTCGGGGAGGCCAGTCTAAGGAGCTGGCCAGGAGGAGGGAGGTGTCTGGGACAAACTTCCAGGCTTTGCAGGGAGGTGGTTGAGGAAAGCGGGGAATGTGTGAGGGGTCTGGAGGTCATAGCACTGTTTCTCTTTTTATTAAGGAGGCAGGGCAGGACCCAAAGGTGTGCGTGCACCAGGAAGAATGAGAGGGCTGGGCCTTCCACTCGCCTCATAAAACACCGCTGTTTTATTTACATTGTACCAAGAGCTGGTACCTCTGTAACTTAAGAGGCACATGAATATATTGTCCTTCAGTCAATAAGTCTTGTCCGACTCTGGCTTTGCCACCCCATGGACTGCAGCACACCAGACTTCCCTGTCCTTCACCATCTCCCAGAGCTTGCTCAAACTCATGTCCATTGAGTCGGGGGTGCCATCCAATGGTCTCATCCTCTGTCGCCCCTCCTCCTCCTGCCCTCAGTCTTTCCCAGCATCAGGGTATACTTTGGAGTCGAAGGGGACTCCATCGGGAAGTACGGGTTGAGGTGGGGGACTGGGAGGGCAGGGCTGCACCCCACCCTGGCGACTCCTGAGGAAGCCGACAAGAGGAGCAAGGCGGGGAACCGGCTCGAGTCCGCGGCCAGGCTGCACCATTCCAACCCCATCTTCATCCCGGCCCCTGCCCCTCTGCCGTAGAGGGACCCGAAGTTCGGAGGGGCGGGGCTCGCCCAGGCCCCGCCCCAGTGCCCCTGGAGTCTTCGCCCGCTCTCCTCGTGCTCCTGGCCACCAGGCTCCTGCCTGCAGCCTCCAGCCCCGCCCTTCCACGCGTGACCTCGGCCCCTCCCCCGTGAGCCCCGCCCCGCCCCCTGCCCCCCGCCTCTTGCTCCTCTGTCACTTCCTGATTCCCGCTTCCTGCTTCCCAGAGACTGGGATCCGGAGCCACCCGAGGACGGTGCTGCAGCCTCTCGGCGTCCCTGGTGAGCGCGATGGATGGGGCTGGGGGCGCGGGCGGGGGTGTTGGGCGGGACTTCGGGGGCAGATCGCCGGGAGCTGGGATGGGGGTCGCAAGTCCGAGGAGCACTTCCCCTCTGCGGCGCCCCACCGTCAGTCCCAACTCCCCTTGGCTGCTCAGTCTCCCCGCTGAGGAGCCAGAATCCTTGAAGTTAGACTCCTGCTTCACCTCGGACCCGGTTCCGAGCGAGCTCGGAGGCTCGGCGGCTGGGAGCGGCGCCCCGACCCCGCCCAGTCCTGCCGGACCTCCTGGACCGGCCTGGGGCTCCCTGCACATTCCTGCAGGCACTGCACATTCCGTGCGACCCAGGACTGTGGCCTAATGCAGCACCCCAGCAGAGATCATTCCTTCCTCTTGTCTGTCCTCCCCATCACCCTGCTACCAAATCCTGGGGGGAAAGGGTCCTGCTGGCGACTGAGACCCACCAAGAAGCAAGGCTTGCACTGGCTGGGCACCTCCCACCTCCCCCACACATATCAGAGCCTGGGAGAGGCCCCCAAAACCCCTCAGGTCTCAGCAATGGCTTTGCTGGAGGTCAATGCATTTCTACCTTCAGATCCCCCTTGAAGAGAGGCAGCCAGACCTGTACTGTGACCCTATTTTGTAACCGGGGAAACTGAGAGCCGGGCAGGTTATAAGGACCAGATCGTCGGCTGCATCCTCCCCACCACCCTTCCTGGAGCCCTGGGAGGGTTAGGGGTTGTCGGCATGGGCAAAGGCTGACCTATGCTTCTCCACCCTGCAGTCATGTTTCGCAAAGTGGTCCGGCAGAGCAAATTCCGACATGTGTTTGGGCAGCCTGTCAAGAATGACCAGTGCTATGAGGACATCCGAGTATCCCGTGTCACCTGGGACAGCACCTTCTGCGCCGTCAACCCCAAGTTCCTGGCAGTGATTGTGGAGGCTAGTGGGGGAGGTGCCTTCCTGGTGCTCCCCCTAAGCAAGGTGGGCCCCGTCGCAGCTGCGGAGAGACAGAGGCAGCTTGGTTACATCTGCCAGGTCTCCGCACACTTCACAGCCCATGAAGTGCCCATCCCCACACTGCTGGGCAGGTGTTAGAATCCAGATTTACTGCCCAGGAGGTGCTAACACACATGGTGAAGGTGTGGTGTTTTTTTTTTTTTAATTGCCAAGGAATCAGGGTCAGAGGCAACTTTTCCTGCTCACCTGGTGACACCTGTGAGATGGAGGTGGGTCAGGAGCAGGCAGAGCAAGAGTCACACCTGGGGCACTTGTGTGCCAGGCGGGGCCGCATCACCCCCTGTCATTCCACGTCCATGGAGGGGAGGACTCAAGCTCTGGGAGGGACGGAGCCCGGGCCTCCTGGGGCCCCCTTGACAGCCTCCCCTCATGCCTGCAGACCGGTCGCATTGACAAGGCCTACCCGACAGTGTGTGGACACACAGGACCTGTCCTGGACATCGACTGGTGCCCCCACAATGACGAAGTTATCGCCAGCGGCTCGGAGGATTGCACGGTCATGGTAAGGCGTGGGGCGGTGGCGGGGCGGGGTCGCAAGTATGGTTCAAGGCTCCTGGCAGCGGGGCCAAGCAGGGACTTCCGCTGACCTCCCGCTTCCCCCACCCCACCCCCGCGCCCGGACAGGTGTGGCAGATCCCGGAGAACGGGCTGGTCTCCCCGCTGACAGAGCCGGTGGTGGTGCTGGAGGGGCACACCAAGAGAGTGGGCATCGTCACCTGGCACCCAACTGCCCGAAACGTGCTGCTAAGCGCAGGTGTGCACTGTGGCCCCTGGCCCCGCCCCCCGCCCCTGGCCCTCCCCTCGCCACATCCTCTCCCAGCCACATCACAGGTGAAAGCTGAGGCCACGGAGGTCGGAGGTCTGGTGCCCAGAGGGTGGTCAGAGGGTGGTCAGAGCTGACGGCGCTCCCGCCTGGCAGGCTGCGACAACATGGTGCTCATCTGGAACGTGGGCACGGCGGAGGAGCTGTACCGCCTGGACAGCCTGCACCCCGACCTCATCTACAACGTCAGCTGGAACCGCAACGGCAGCCTCTTCTGCACCGCCTGCAAGGACAAGAGCGTGCGCGTCATCGACCCCCGCCGGGGGACCCTGGTGGCGGTATGCGGCCCGGAGGGTGAGGACGACCGCGGACCGGCCGAGGGGCTCTCTCCGGGCACCGCACAGGCCAATTCCTCCGTCTCCTCCGCAGGAGCGGGAGAAGGCTCACGAGGGAGCCCGGCCCATGCGGGCCATCTTCCTGGCCGACGGCAAGGTGTTCACCACGGGCTTCAGCCGCATGAGCGAGCGGCAGCTGGCACTCTGGGACCCAGTGAGTGGCTGTGGCCTCCCTGAGGGGGCGGATGCAGGACAGGCTCCACCCTGGGCAAGCAGGGTGGAAGTCACTTGGAGAGGCCTGTCCCTCCCAGGTTCTCAGCCTGGCCCCTGAGGCATCCAGGCATCCAGGACCCCAGCCCTTCCAGCCTCTTCTCTCCCTGTCCCTGCTCTCTGGCCTCCCCCACCTGCCTCCACATCTGCCCGCAGCAGTGTTCTTGGCCCCGGAAAGGCCCTCCCTCCTTTGCTTGTCTGTTTCTACTCTGGCTATCCTTGGAGCCCCAGTGCAGAGGCCCCCTCCTCCAGGAAGCCTCCCAGCCCTTCCTCTGAAGTGCTTTGTCCCCCAGCCTTATCCTGTATAGTGACCTCCAGGGGCCCCCCAGGGAAGGGGCTAGTGCTGCCTTGCAGCCTGGCTCCCTGGGGACTTTCTCAGCACCTGGTTGGTGGCCTGCAAGTTGTCTGAAGGCCTGGAAGAGGCAGGGAAAACTGGGACCACGGGGTGGAGGGGAGCCAGCGGGGCCCAGTAGGGCACAACGTGTGGGCAGAGGGTGAGAGTGTTAGGGGCAGTGCCGGCTGGCATGTGAGGCTGGTCAGGGCCAGTGTCGAAGCAGGGCTGGGATGGTGAGGGGAGGAAGCAGGTTCTGACCTGGCCCGATTGGCCCTCAACCCATGTGCCAGGAAAACTTCGGGGAGCCCATGGCCCTGCAAGAGTTGGACTCTAGCAACGGAGCTCTGTTACCCTTCTACGACCCTGATACCAACGTGGTCTACGTCTGCGGCAAGGTAGGGCCGGGCGGGGTGGGGGTGGGGTGGTAGAGACGAGAGGCAGGCCCTGGCGCTGACCCCTGCCCCTCCCGCCCTCCAGGGCGACTCCAGCATCCGGTACTTTGAGATCACGGACGAGCCCCCCTACCTCCACTTCCTGAATACGTTCACCAGCAAAGAGCCCCAGAGGGGCCTGGGGAGCATGCCCAAGAGGGGCCTGGAGGTCAGCAAGTGCGAGATTGCCCGGTAAGCAGGGCCGCTGAGGAGGCCAGCTGTAGGGGGGTGGCGTGGGGGCGGGAGCTGGACCCTAGGCGCCCAGGGTGAAAGGTCAGATCACAGGAGGCTGCTCAGAAACAGGAGCTGGCCCGCAGAGGCTCCGGAGTCGGGATCAGGCCGTGGGAGGGCCCAGGGGAAGGACGACACGGAGAGCAGAGGGAGCCAGGAGAGCTGGTAGAGGGGCAGGTTCCACCCACGGGTCCTCCCTCCGCACCCTTTCCCAGGTTCTACAAACTGCACGAGCGCAAGTGTGAGCCCATCGTCATGACTGTGCCAAGAAAGGTGAGGCCGCCTTGTTCCCTGCCCACCTGCTCCCTTCTCTAGCAGACAGACCACACGGGGGTGACCGAGGTGAGGCCTGCGAGTGGGACATGGCTAAGTGCGAGTGTAGTCAGTGGGCCGCATGGACGCCAGTGTGCCCCACCGGGGCAGGCAGCGATGAGACACAGGGTGAGCTGAGGCCTTGCTCTGGATGGACGCGGGGCAGCCTCCTGGCTGGGGTACGATCTCCATGAGGGGTGGGTGGTAAGCCAAGTGAAGGCACGGAGGTGGGAGCGATGAGAGCCAGGAGTCTGGCTGCAGGGGAGGCTCCCAGGAGGCGAGGGTTCAGCCACGTGTGTCTTGGCCTCGGGGCCCCAGCTGAGAGCCGTGAACGAGCTCCATATCTCTGCAGCCAGCGTTAACTGAGTGCTGTATAGCGTGCCAAGCCTGTCCAGGGAACGGGGCCTGGCCCAGTTCACAATCCACAGGGCCCTGACGTGGCTCCCGGAGTCCCATAAAGCACATAGCTGGCCCCTGCTTGGGGAGGTGGGAGGAGTCTTCAGAGGGAGCTGTTAGTGGCATCCAGAAGGGAAGTGAAAGGACAGATTGGAGCTTTAGAAAGGTCACTAGGGGTCAGGCCATTGGAAGACGGGTTGATGGGCTGCCAGCCTGGAGGTCAGAAGAGTGGCAAGGAGGTGTCTGCTCAGGGTCCAGAGGACCCTGCAGGCGGGCCCCCAGCTGACCCAGGCCTCCCTCCGCCGCCCCCGGGGCAGTCGGACCTCTTTCAGGATGATCTGTATCCAGACACGGCCGGGCCCGAGGCAGCCCTGGAGGCAGAGGAGTGGGTGAGCGGGCGGGACGCCAGCCCCATCCTCATCTCCCTGCGGGAGGCCTACGTGCCCAGTAAGCAGCGGGACCTGAAGGTCAACCGGCGCAACGTGTTGTCGGACAGCCGGCCCGCCGCGGCCCCTGGTACCCCCCGCCCGGGGCCCTCTGCGCCTGCGGCCTCCACCAACATTGCCACGCTCAGCGGCAGCCTCGCCAGAGCTGGGGTATGTGCCCCTTGGCGCGGGGTGGTGTTGCCCAGGTCTGCTGTGCCTGCCCAAACCATTCACTGCCCTCTCTGGGCCCCGGGCCCCTGCCCCGTGGTAGATGTAGGGAGGGCTGCGCCCCCGCAACGCCGGGCCCCTTGCTGGTGTCCCCGCAGGAGGCTGGGAAGCTGGAGGAGGTGATGCAGGAGCTGCAGACACTGAGAGCGCTGGTCCAGGAGCAGGGCGTGCGCATCGGCCGCCTGGAGGAGCAGCTCGGCCGCATAGAGAATGGAGATGCCTAGGTCCCCAGCCCGCAGACGCTGCTCCCTGTCACCTCCTCCCCCACCCCAGTCTCACTCAGCCTCTGTCACACCGACTGCGGGCGGGCTGCCCCCCTGCCCCTGCTGAGGGCTTCTGGGGCAGGTTCTGGGGGGGCCCTCCCGCGGGCCCAGGCTGGAGCCACCGCCAGGCTTTGGGCTTTGGTCAGCGTTACTGTTGGAGGATTTTTGTACCAAGGAGCACTTCTATTGTGAGGGACCACCTCCCCCGCCTCCAGCCAGCCCTCCTGCTCCCTGCTCTGAGGAAGCAGGAGGGTTGGGCTCTATATTTTCATTCCAAATAAAATGCTGTTTCTAAAAAGCCAGGCTGGCCCTTCTGCTACAAGGGTGGGGTTGGGAAAGGAAGCTTGGGCACCTGGGGACACGGGACACCCCCAGGGCTCACAGACATGAGAGAGGGGGCCCTGAGCATCCCCCCACCGTTTTCCCTGACATCTGTCAGCTAGGAAAACGGAGGCAGAGCCCTGCGGATGCCTCCAGGGCCTGCCCTGCTTTGAGCCGGATGCCCAGTTCCTCCTCCTTTTGGAGGCCAGGCCACAGGCCGCATGGCCCCAGCCTGGCAGGAGGAGAGGCCGCTGAGGATCTGCTGTGAATCGGGGTGGTCCTGAGAGGCCCCAGGGGCCCGCCGGGGTCCCATGTGGGAGGGCTGGGCAGGGTGTTCTGGGCAGGAAGCGGAAGTGCCGATGAACCCCAGCTGCCGTCGCTGCTCTCATTTCGCACTCGACACAGCCAGAGCTGGAGGTGGGAACCCAGCGCTGAGAGGCGACGGCCTGATGGTGAGCATGGGGCTGACTGCGTCCTGGGGACAGGGGCTGCAGGAGGTCAGGGCTGGACCGTCTGGGCCCCCCGGGAGCTAAGGAAGGACCCCCCCACAGGCCTGGGGACACTGAGCGGTCAGGGAGGGTGACCCGGGCGGGACAAACATGGGACGGAGACTGGGCCTCTCTCTCACCTCACCTTAGACCTGGGCCTCCCTGGGATTCAGGGGGTGGCCCTCAGCGCCCCACTGTGTGCCCAACCCCCCCCCCAAGACTCCCCAGAGGGACTCTCACCTGCTCTGCTCCGGAGCCTGGGACACGCACACCGTCTGGACTTGCATCCCAGGAGCCAGGCAGGCAGGCAGGCAGCTGGGTGGGGAAAGGCCTGCCCGCACCTCAGCACCCCTCCCCCTCACACCCCCCCCACCTGCCTTGTTCCGACCGCAGGCTTCCTCTGGCAGCTGCACTCGCCTCCCCAGCCCCTGGCCCTGCAAGCCTGAGGCCCCCAGGGATGCAGTCGAACGGAAACGCTGCAGCTGGGGCAGTCCCACAGCTGGCAGGAAGAGGGGTCTCAGTGACCCCCGTCCTGGGACTTGGACAAATGGAAGGAAAGAGTTGCCTCAGGTTGGGTGCCTCCCTCCTGGGCCTCAGGAAGAGCCAGCCTTGCCTTCCTTCCCTTCCATCCCCCCACCTCCCGGGGGAGTGGGGGCAGAGTCTTAACACACTCAACCAATATTTCTTGAGCCCCTACTCTGGGCTAGGAGTCGTTTAGGTGCTTAAGCCAAAAAGATCCTTGTTTTCCTGGTGGGAAGATAGAACGATAAGCATGGCACACAGCAGAGCGATCCCCCTGTGTTGGGGAGGGGTGGGTGAACAGCGCTGGGCCGCAGGGGTGAATGTCAAGGTAGGCATCCACGGAGGTGAGGCCTGACTGAAGGCACCCTGAGCCAGGGCAAGCAGGGAGCCGGGGGGCTCTCAGGGGGATGGTGTGTTCCAGACTGAAGGTGCAGCCAGGGCACAGGCCCCAGGCAGGAGCAGGCTGCGGTGGTGCAGTGGGAGGCAGTGGGGCACGGGTGGCCGGCTATCGCAGAGCCAGGACAGGCCTTCATGACTGAGTAAGCACTTGGGCTTTTCAAACTTGCCCAAGAGACAACCAACCCAAGCAGTGAGCCTCTGCCCGTCTCCCACAGGATCTGCCCTGCGCCCTAGGGCTCTGGACGCTGCTGGCCCTGCCTGGGGCCCTGGGCTCGGGCAGTAGTGCCAGGGACTCCAACTCCTCAGTCATCGTTGTCCTGCTGCTGCTGCTCCTGCTGCTGGTCGCTGGCCTGGCACTGGCCTGGCGCCGCCTTAGCCGGGACTCAGGGGGCTACTACCACCCGGCTCGCCTGGGCGCCGCGCTCTGGGGCCGCACTCGCCGCCTGCTCTGGGCCAGCCTGCCAGGCCGCTGGCTCCGGGCCGAGCTGGGCTCACCAGATGAGGACCCAGAGCAGCAGGAGGACGAGCCGGACGTGGAAGACGACTACGATCTGGTCAGTGGCCGAGAGGAGCCCAGATCCCAGGAAGAGGAGCAGCGGGGAGAGGGGCCCAGCCCGCCGCAGGCCCCCAAGCCGGCCGGGGCAGCGCGCGACGATGACGCGGAGGGTGGCCTGTGCCTCGGCTGCCAGGGGCCGTCGGGCTCGGGGGGCAGTGCCGAGGCCCTGCTAAGTGACCTGCACGCCTTCGCTGGGAGCGCGGCCTGGGACGACAGCTCCCGGGCAGCCGGCGGCCAGGGCCTCCACGTCACCGCGCTGTAGGCACGGCCCTGCGGCCACACGCCAGCCACCGTCCCTCTGCTTCCGAGCTGCCGCAGCTGGACACAGCTGCCCTGGACTCAGGTCACCCCCGCTTGGAGAGCCTCGGACCGTCACGCCCGCCCCAGCCCCCCCCACTGTAGTTCTGTCCCCAAGTCTGCGTATCCCCGGCCCCTCCAGCAAGGCCATTCATCCCCCAGGGGCTCTGGGCAATCAACGGAAATAAAATCCCTCCAGCTCCATGGATCTGTGGTCCTGTCATGACCCTTCCCATCCCTAAGCTGGGATTCGTCCGGGCACCACCTCTGCCCCGGAAGCCAAGGAAGAGCCAGGTCGGTGCCATGATTTGATACTTTTAATTCTCCAAGGGCACGGCTCAACTGCAGGAGGCCAGGTGGGCGGCCCCTCGACCGGCAGTCACAGCCTGCAGCCCTTGGTGGTCATGATTCTGGGGTACGGCCACCCCAACCGAGACCCACTCACACCAGTCACTCTTGCACCTCAAGGCACGGCCCCGGGTCTCTGGAACTGGCCCAGCGTCCTGCCGCCCGCGTCCCCACCCATTCTCTTAGCGCCCAGGGCGCCCGCGGCCCCTCTTGGACTTCTTGGTCCCTGAGGGGGGTTGGATGGGGAGGGGGGCGGTGCTCGGGGGCGGGGGCGGTGGTGGCGGAGGCAGCAGGGGAGGCAGCGGGGGCTCCACAAGCTCCTGTGGGCCAGGGCTGGGCCGGAACCCCTCGAAGGGCGAGAACTTCAGGGGGCTGCGGGGGAAATCGAGGCCAAATCAGCGTCTTCTGGCCCGGGGTCAGGAGAGGCGACTTTCCCCCCTTGCTCCCCCGCCTGGAGCTCAGGCTGTGTGGTCACGTGCCCACCCACAGGAGTCCCCACAGCAGACGGACAAGCAGAGGCTGAGGCTGGTCACGAGACGGCCAGGGCGGCCCTGGGGTTGGCGGCACAGCCACAGCTGGAGCCGGCCGCCCCCCCACGGTACCTGATGGGGGTCCGGGGGCTGCTGTTGAGGCGCCTGGGGGAGCGCAGCTTGGGCTGGAAGGAGAAGCCCTCCTTGATGCTGTCCAGGACCGAGGGCGCCACGTACGTGAAGCCCTGGGGCAGAGGCCGGGCCAGGCGACGCCCAGGGTCAGTGGCGCCCTGGCCCCGGCCCGGGCCCGGCCCCGGCCCCCGGCCCTCAGGCCCCCGACCTCACCAGGAAGGCCTGGTTGGCACTCTCACTCAGCGTCGTATCGTCTGGACTGTCCACCGGCGTCTGCCTCGTGAAGTGGGAGTCAAACTGACTCACGTCCTCCTCCGACTGCTGTGGGCGCCCGGGAGCGAGGGTGAGGGGCATCCAGGAAAGGGGCCCCCACCCACCCCTCGGCCAGTGGGGCCTCCACTCACCAGGGAAGGCCGGAAAGGGGGGTCCACACGGCGGGCCAGGAGGTCGTCCCAATTAACGTGCCGGAAGAAGGGGTGCCTCTGTGAGTAGAGTGCCCAGGAACATGCCAACATTTCAAACCCTGGCTCCCTCAGAAACACCCTCTGCCCTGAGGCCCCGCCCGCTGCACCCAGGCACCCCGGGAGCTCAGCCATGCCCCCTCACGATGGTTTCACCTGCACATCAGCAGCGTCCCCAGGGCCCCCTCCAATCCGCTGGTTAGGATTCCTCTTCAGAAACTGCAGGACAAAGGTAGAGGGTCAGGGTCTCGGGCAGAGTTACGGACCAAGTGTGCTGAGATGGGCCCGGGGGAGGGGAAAAGTGACACAGGGGTTGGGGGTTGTGGTGGGGGCTCTGGAGTATGGTCTCCCTACTGACACCCTCAGGATTTCCAAGGTTTGGTCCAAAAGCACCCCCTTCTCCACAAAGCCTTTGCAAAGCTGTCTGGTTGCTGGCATCGCCCCAAGGGCAAATTCATGGGGGTACAATCTGGATGGGGTGTCTGCCCTCCCAACCTCGATCCCCGCCTTTTTGAGGAGAGCAGCTAGTCTCACTGATTAGGACTCAGGCATGGCAACCCACTTCAGTATTCTTGCCTGGAAAATCCCACGGACAGGGGAGCCTGGCAGGCTACAGTCCATGGGGTTGCAAAGAGTCAGACATGACCAAAGCAACTTAGCACGCACGCGCAGAGACTTGTCCAGGATTGGCAACTGGTCTGTATGACAGCTGACGTCTCGGACCCCATAGCAAGTGCTCTCTTTCCAAACGTACAGTGTTTGGTGTGTGTGTGTCAGCGGGGTGGGGGGTAAAGCAACCCCGACCCAGGAAGGTTCAGGCACGCATGGCCTGGGAGAAAAGATGGGGCAGGACCGGGGGCAGGAGGGAACCCACCTTTTTGACAAGATCCCGGGCATCCGGGGTGAGGTAGGGGGGCAGCTCCAGCTTCCCTCTGATGATCTTGTCCATGGTTTTCTTCCGATTCTCTGCAGTGAAGGGCGGCTGGAGAAGGCAGAGGGTGAGAGGCGCCTTGCAGGCCTCCCACGGGCCGCCCCTGCCCCAGGAGGGGCCCCTCCTCCCGCCCTGATGCCCACCCTCCCGAGGAGGCTGGACTTGCCGATCCAGTGAGCATGTCGTACATCAGGGCCCCCAAGCTCCACCAGTCCACCGCCCGGTTGTGGCCACTGCGCACCAGAATCTCAGGGGCCCTGGGGGCCAGGTGGAACCACCAGTCAGACCAAGCCCTGCCTGACTGTGCTGCCCGCCCCTGGGCCCCGCCGGAGGCCACTTACATGTACTCGATGGTGCCGCAGAAGGTGTGGGTCACGGCGCCCTCGTGGATCGACTCCTTGCAGAGGCCGAAGTCCGTCAGTTTGATGTGGCCTGAGGGAAAATGTTAGAGGGTCAGGGCCCAGCCCCGCTGCCCTCCATGGGGCTCACCCCTCCCCACAGCTGCGCACCCTGGCTGTTGAGCATGATGTTTTCAGGTTTGAGGTCCCGGTAGATGATGCCTTGGGAGTGGAGATGGCCCAGGGCCAGTGTGATCTCTGACAGGTAGAAACTGCAGGGACAGGACAGAGTGAAGGCCAGGGTGGGGCTGGAGCCAGGCCCAGGCCCTGGACCCCCTCAGGACAGAGGCAAGAGGTAACACCCACCAGGCCGTGTCTTCTAGGAAGATGCCTTCCCGCTCCAGGTGCGTGAAAAGCTCACCGCCTGTGACACAAACACGTTAGCAGCTGCGTGCCAGGACCAAGCTCCTCTGCTCGCCGAGTGTCGGTTTGTTCTCGGGGAGAGTGGGGCTCGGAATTCCTGCCCTACCTGCCTCCCAGAGCTGCCGTGGGGATTCAATTCAATTCAGCAAACATCTACCGACGCCTACTCGGTGCCCGGCCCTGTGTGGGGTGAAGCTGGGGACAGAGATGAAGAGACCCAGCCACAGCCCTCAGGGCGCTCAGTCTAATGGGGAGACGGACGCACACAGACGCTCGGATACGCCAGCCCGAGGCTACGGCTCCAAGAGCCTAACCCCAAAACCCTCACCGAGGGGGCAGGCGGACACAATCCAGCCCCACGTGAGCGGACAGAGAAAGTCCATGGCAGCGGTGAGACTTAAGGGCATGCAGAGATGGCATGCAGAGAATGAAGCCCCCAGGGTTCGTGGGTACAGCTGGGGTCAGTAGGAAGAACAGGCCCCGATCACTTCCCGGCAAGCAGGAGACACTGGGCCCAAGGAGGCCATCCAGGCAGGTACAGGGAGGCACGGAGCTCTGGGTAGGAGGGTGGGGACAATCCCGTGCTCTGAGATGCCAACCCTGGGATTCGTGGAGAAGACACTAGGAAGGGAGTGAGCTGGAGCCTTGGAGGCCAGTGAAGAAAGCACTGGGATTCCTCCCCTCCCCCCGAAAGAGCAGAGAGGATAGACACTGTAGAGAATAAGCCACCTGGACTGGGGTCTAACTGGATGCAAGGCACACAGGAGAGAGGACCAGGACATGACGGAGTCGTAGTGGAAATGGACAGAACCCTCTGGACATTTCTACCAACTCCCACCATTCCCATTCACCCCAACACAGGGGAGGAACACAAGAGGCTCTGGACAGACGTTTGCTGAATAAATGAATGTATGCATGCATGAATAGATGGATAGAGGGATGGATGAGGTGGGGGCCCCCCGCATTCTGCTCCCCACATCTCTCCCAGTTCCCTGCCAGAGCTCCCTGCACTGGTTCTCTGGCCTTGCCCGCTCCCCGGCTGCGTCCCCGTTCGTACCACTGAGGCACTCAAGGATGAGGTAAAGTTTGCCGCCAGTCTGGAAGGCGTAGGCCAGTTCCACAATGAAGGGGTGCTTCACCGACTCCAGAATGTTCCGCTCAGCCCTCGTGTGTGCCGTGTCCTTGGCGTTGCGCACAATTTTGGCCTGCAGAAGCAGGGATGGGCTAGAAGGTGGGTGCCCAGGACTCCCTCAGCCCCTGCAGTCATGACCCTCCCTGGCCAGCCTCTATCACCCCGCTATATTTCTCCACAGTCTACTGCTATCAGCAACCATGCTTTCCAGGGACTGGTTTATCCTAGTAGCATGGCTATCTGATGTGAAGAACCAACTCATTGGAAAAGACCCTGATGCTGGGAAAGAATGAGGGCAAAAGGGGAAGGGGGTAGCAGAGGATGAGGTAGTTAGACAGCATTACTGACTCAATGGACAAGAGTTTGAGCAGCCTCCGGGAGATAGTGGAAGACAGAGGAGCCTGGCATGCTGCAGTCCATGGAGTCACAAAGAGTCAGACATGACTTCAGTTCAGTTCAGTCACTCAGTCATTTCCATCTCTTTGCGACCCCAGGGACTACAGCACGCCAGGCTTCCCTGTCCATCACCAACTCCTGGAGCTTGCTCAAACTCAGGTCCATCGAGTCGGTGATGCCATCCAACCGTCTCATCCTCTGTTGTCTCCTTCTCCTGCCTTCAATCTTTCCCAGCATCAGTGTCTTTTCCAGTGGGTCAGTTCTTCCAAGAAGCAGAACCCATACGGACACGACTTTGCGACTGAACAACATGATGTTTCTCAACCTCTGCACTCATGATGTTTGGGGCAGACAATTCTTTGTGGTGGGGGGCTATCTTTGCACTGCAGGATCTTTAGCAGAATCCCTGGCCTCAACCCACTGGGTACCAGTAGCATCCCCCCTCTAGTCATGACTCAAAAATGTACACAGACATTGCTAAATGTCCCCTGGAAGGCCATAGGGTCCACAGTTGAGAAGTGCAGCAAAACAACATAATCGAAATTGACAATAAACAAGCAAATGTTCAAGACAGTGACCATCTCCTCTCCCACATTCACTGCTGTCCCTGAAAAGCCCAACAGAGTGCACTGGGAATGGCAGTCACTCAGTGATGAGCTGTAGACAAAATGAATGACTCACCTTCCTCAGGACTTTCATGGCATATATTTTGCCCAGATTGCTGCCCTGTACCTTTCGCACCTGGAACACCTGTAGGGCAGGGGAGACAGGATCAACCTCCCTCTCCATACCTATCTTCAAAAAGCTCCACCCTGAAGCTCTGGTACTGGGACCAAGAAAGCCTAGGCCCACCCAGGGGTGGGGCAGTAAAGATTTCAAGTCCAATTCTGAGAGGATTTGCTCTTCCTTCCTTCCCTCTGAGTTCAATCAGAGGCTCCGCTGATTTACGTCTAATTTTATTTTTTTAATGTTTTGGCAGCTCCACAGGTGGGATCTTAGTTTCCCGGCCAGGGAAAGAACCTGCACCCCTGTACTGGAAGTGCAGAATCTTAACCACTGGACCACCAGGGTAGTCCCTACAAGTCTAATTAGTTCTGAGACCCTTTGGTGCAGCAAAACTGAGGCTATGAGGCCAGTCACGAAGGAGGAGAGCCAGTACCTTGCCATAGTTCCCCTTGCCCAGCACACGCAGCAGCTCAAAGCAGTGGGGACCGATGCGCTCAGGGCCCGGGTTCACACTGCTCTCAGTCAGCTCCACCTCCTCATAGTGTCCCACAGGCCTGCAGACACAGGAGGTTAACGGGGGCAATGCGCTCCTGCGCTCCTCAGGTCCCCTTCCCCAGCCCATTCCCTCCTTCCCCAACACGACCCTCACTCACTCCAGGCCAGCCGCCCTCAACTCCGCGAGAGGACACGCGTCCTGTGAGAAACCGAGGGGGTAAGAGCCAAGGGAGGTGCCAGGCTCCCTCTCCCCAAAGCTGGACTGCTTAGCCCAGAAGAGAGGGTCAGGAGTCGGAGCCGACAGGCGATGGACCAGGACTGGGGAGGACAGGCGAGGGCAGGATAGGGAGACGCAGGGGAAGGGCCGGGAGCGTGCAGAATAGATCGGGGTGTGGGGAGGGTCAGATCTTAACAGTGGGGAGGACAGGCGAGGGCAGGATAGGGAGACGCAGGGGAAGGGCCGGGAGCGTGCAGAATAGATCGGGGTGTGGGGAGGGTCAGATCTTAACAGTGGCTGGGATCTGAGACAAACCAGCGTCTGCGGGAGCCGAGCCCACTCTGCTACGGGGTGCCCGGGCGATCCCACCGCCTGGACGACGGGATCGAGCCAGGATCAAACGGCGCCCGGGTGGCCCACTCACCGCGGGGCTGAGCTCTGGCTCGCCCTCGCCTTCGCTGCCTTCCTCTGTCTCCAGGTCCAGGTCAAACACCGCCGCCATGGCTGCGCCGGCCCAGCGGGCCCACTGGCGCGTACCCTGCTGCGCGCTGACTGACAGGCCGGGAGCCCGGGGGCCTTACGTCATCACTCCGCGACAGCCTCGCGCACCTATGACGCAAGAGATTGCCCCGCCCCCGAGTCTGCGGGGCGTCTGCCGTAAGGCATCTCGGGAGTGGTAGTTCCAGAGCGCTGAGATGCCGAATCCAGCCGGACCCAGGTTTCGGCCGGCCGCTCCGTCTTCCCAACGCAGCTCCCCGGGGGCGGCGCCGGACGAGAGCCTCCTGGGAGGCGACTGTTTTGGTTCTGGGGCGAGTTTGGGCGTGGATAGTCGGAAGTGCATGCAGGTTTGAGCGTAAACACAATTCCCAGCCCCGGTGGAGCCCTGCGCTGCCGGGCTGTCTGGGTGGCGGCGAGAGGCAGGTCCAGTATCTCTGTTCGACCCTGAAAGGGAGCCGGCGGCTGCATCACGGCTTCGCTAATGTGCCTCTCGGCTGGAGGACTTGAAAGTCAGAGCATTTACTGCTCCGTACTCAGCTCACTGCTGGGCTTTGTTGCCAGTGAAAGTGATACTGGAGTGGGTTGCCATGCCCTCCCCCAGGGGATCTTCCCGACCGAGGTAAACCGTCTGCCTGCAATGTGGGAGACCCGGGTTCAATCCCTGGCTCGAGGAGATTCCCTGGAGAAAGAAATGGCAACCCATTCCAGTACTCTTGCCTGGAAAATTGCCATGGACTGAGGACTCTGGTAGGCTACAGCCCATGGGGTCGCAAAGAGTCGGACAGGACTGAGCGAGTTTGTTTTCACTTTCACCCACACTCCAGGGAGATTCTTTACTGTCTGAGCCACAGATTCCTCCCCAAATGGGTTCCTTCGAGTCTCATCAAACCACCCATAAATACAGGCTTGGGCTGTGCGTCAGGCACAAGAACTTGTATTTGGCAACACTACAATAATGAACATGCCAAACCCGGTCTGTCAGTTTAGATGTGGGCACGGATTCTTGTTGGATGGGACTCTGGGAGTGTGAATTGGGCCAGATCAGACCTTGAATGATTTCCGACAGTTTGGAAACTGTCTGGATGTGCATTCCAGTTGGACCGTGGAGGCTAGATATGAATTCAAATGGACACAATTCAGTCTCCAGCCTGGAGAAGGGTTATCTGGTTGGGGTTGGCCCTTGCTGTAATTTCACCTTCAGGAAACCCTCAGGTTTGGGTCCTGGTGTGGGTGCCCCTGGCATGCCCCTTGCCAGTGGTGAACCGAGAGGCCTGGCAGTGTAGCAGTTTATCCTTCCCTGGTGGCTCAGATGGTAAAGAATCTGCCTGCAAAGCAGGAGACCCAGGTTCAATCCTCTGGGTTGGAAAGATCCCCTGGAGAAGGAAATGGCAACCCACTCCAGTATTCTTGCCTGGAGAATCCCATGGACAGAGGAGCCTGGCCAGCTACTGAGCCACTAGCACTTTGACTTTTTAGATGCTACAGCTAGCCCTTAACTACCTCTCCTTCCCCCTTCCATGTCCCCTGTCTACCCAGGCTTGAGAAGTGTTGTCCAAGTGGCAAGAACCTGGCCCAAACTGCTCATGTCACTAGTCCATAAGCCTTTATTTGGAGAGGGATGCTTGTGGAGCTGTCCACAGCTCCCGTGCTGCACGGAGAAAGAGTTCTTAGAGCAGCCTCCCCTGGATGAGGACAGGAGTGTAGTCTTCTCTGCCAATGCAAGTTAGGTGTGTCTGCGGCCAAAGCACCAGAGCTTGGCGGATAAGGTGCACAGTGCATGGGAGGGATGTTCACCTGTCCCAGGACCACACATGAATGAGGGTAAGGAGGTGGGCGGGGCCAAGAAGCTGAGTGGGCGGGTACAGCTTGATAAAAGCGGAAATCTGGATGGTGCATCTTGTCCTCCTCCCTTCAGTCACAGTGGCAAGACACTGAAGCAGTGGCTTTTCCTCTCTGAGCCTGTTTCCTTATCTGTAAAATGGGGCAATAGTGTCTGCCTGGAGGGGAGATGGTTACTGCTGAGCCCAGGTCACCTGCTTCTACTGCTCAGGCCGAATAAGGCAGACGGGGCACTGCCAAAAGTTGTCAGCAGGCTCTAGAACTATCTAGAATTTGTTAAATGAGGGGTTGAGAGGAGGAGGATGAGGGTTTTAGTCTCAGGTTTTCTTGGGATTTGTTCAAGGCAAGGGGCCAGCTGGGCTCTCTTCTGTAGGCAGCAGGAAGAGAAACATATCTGGAGGGGTGGGAAGGATGGGCTGAGTTTGGGCCTACTCCCACCAACCTGGGGGCAGGGTGCGTGTCTCTGTGTGTGCAGGTGCTGCTTCTCCATGGCTAGCGTCCTGGGCAGCCATGGGGCTGGACGGAGGCCTTCGAGACAGCAAGAAGTCTCGGCGGCGGCTCACCAGATCTTTTCTTTTGTGGCCCTCAAGTCCAGGAGGCCTAGGTGTCGAAAGAGCCCTGGGCTCTGGAAAGACCTGGGGCCTTGGAGTGGACCAGCCCAGGGTGGGGCAGGGCCGCAGGAAGAGAAGCTGGGAAAGCTCCAGGAGCAGAGGGTACCACAGCACCCCCCTCAAGCACTTTGCCCCTGCCCTCTGGCCCCAGCGCTATTTGAAGTGGGACAAGAAGTAGGCAACGGGGTAGTGGGGCCCATCGATGCCCAGGCCCTGGCAGAGGCCCAGCAGGCGGTGACGGGCCTCGGCCGGGCTGGACCCAGCACAGGCCACACTGCAGTAGGGCTCCTCGTATTCGCCAGGCACCAGGGCCTCCTCCAGCAGATTGAGGCGCAGCAGGCCCTGGTCGTGAAGAGCCTGCAGGGTCTCGGGGCTGGCGGTGGAACTCAGCGCCTGCAGGTGCTGGGACACCAGGCACATGACACCCACCAGGTGGCCCCGGGCGCGGGGGTGGGCGGGCAGGGCAGGTCGCAGGCCGCAGGCCACCATAGCCGCAGCCAGCAGCAGGTCCACACCGTAAAGCTCTAGGATCCAGTCTCGCAGGTAGAAGCCACCCATGCGGGGGTTGATCTCAATGAGCCGCGGCCCAGCCCCGGTCAGCTTGAGCTCCACGTTGAAGACCCCGTCCAGCAGCCCGCAACCCAGGCAACAGCGGAAGGCGGCCTGCACCAGCTGTGCCTCCTGCTCTGGGGCCAGCCCAGTGGGCATGCAGGCTGCGGTCTCAGTGAAGCCAGGCAGCCGCGTGGGGCCGTTGTCAGAGACGAAGGCAGCCAGCAGTCGCCCGCCGAACAACACCAGATCCACATCATGTTCCGTGCCCTCGATGAACTCCATCAGCAGCATGGCATTGCCCCAGCCCAACCCAATGCCCGGGTGGTCAGCCTCACCCTGCAGGTCTCGGGCGATCCGGGAAAAGTGCTCACGGCACTGCGAGGCATCCTTCACCAGCCGCACACCCACCGCGCCAGCCCCGAACTCCAGCTTCATGACACCTGGCAGGGGCACCTGGCGGACAGCCCTGTCCACATCGGCCTCACTCTCCAGTGGACAGCAGGGCACAGCATAGAGGGAGGGCGCGGGCCAGGGTGGGCCACGGCGGCACAACAGGTGCAGCTGGGTGCGGCTCTTCTGCTTGGCCAGGCGCATGGCGGCCGGCGGGTTGCAGGGCAGGCCCAGCTCCTGGCAGAGCAAGGCTGTGAGCACCAGGCAGTCATCCCAGTAGGAAAAGCAGCCATCGAGCTGCAGGCCGCGTGCCCGCACCAGCTCCGCCAGCACCCGGGCGTTCTCCTCATCCCGCCGGTGCTCCGTGACATCGAAGTGGATGAAGGTCTGCACCAGCTGGGACGCAAAGTGGTTGGGGTCCGACTCCACCAGGTGTATCTGCAGAAACCACAGAACAGTGACACGCCGAGATCAGCTCCTGTGGGGCATTGGGCAGTGGAATGGGGCCTGGAATATGGTCCTAGCCCTCGGGGGAGAAGGGTTCACCAGCGCTAGGCGCTCAAAGTGTGTTTGATGAAGAATGAGTGAAAAGTACAGAGGTGAGACACCTAATCCAGCCTAGAGGGGACGGAAGGCAACCTAGAGGAGGCAGTGCTTAAACTGGGAGCTCAGTAAGATTTGCTGTGTGCTTAGTTGCTCAGTCGTGTCTGACTCTGTTCGACCCCATGGACTGTAGCCTGCCAGGCTCCTCTGTCCATGGAATTCTCCAGGCAAGAATATTGGAGTGGGTTGCCATACCCTCCTCCAGGGGATCTTCCCAACCCAGGGATCTAATCCAGGCCTCCAGCATTGCAGATGGATTCTTTTCTGTCTGAGCCACCAGGGGATAAGATTTAGCCCGAGGAAAGACAGTTGCAGGAGAGAGGTAGGTGAGGGGAGTGATCTAGGTGAGAGACGGTGTCAGAAAGGGTCGGTCAACTCCCACTGGCAGGCACAGTCTGGCCTGGGTTTGTAGGGAAACCAACAGGGTTAGGGCTTAGGACTGGTGGCCTAGTGGCCCGAGGGGGTGCCTTTTACTCCCAGAGGGAACAAAATTCAGCGAGGGGCCAAAAAAAAAAGTTGAGACTTCTAACCTGGGCGGAGCAACAGGCCCCGCCCCTGTGCTGAGGCTCTGTGCTAAGTGGGTTCAGTCGTGTCCGACTCTCCGCGACCCTATGGACCGTAGCCTGCCAGGCACCCTGTCCATGGGGGCTGTCCAGGCAAGAACACTGGAGTGGACCACTCCAGTGCCCTCCTCCAGGGAATTCTCCCGACCCAGGGATCGGAACCCTGGTCTCTTAACACCTCTTGCTCCGGCAGGCGAGTTCTTTAAGCATTAGCTCCACCTGGGAAGCCCCAGGCTGGACCGCCCCGCATAGGCCCCGCCCCGAGGCCAACACCGCCCGGGCCCCGCCTCCGCCACACCTACCGGGACTCAAAGCCCCGCCCACCTTGAGCCCGTAGTCGCGCGCCGCCTCCCACACGAACTTCTTGCTGACGCCGCCCGCGCCGAGCAGCAGCAGCTGCTTTCCCTCCATGAGGCAGCGCGCCGAACGCCGCAGCATCGTCTCCACCAGCGGCGCGGCCGCCGCCTCCTCGGCCGCCAGGCCCAGGTGCTGCGATGCCCATAGCCCCTCTAGCGCGCCACATGCTTCCAGACACAGGCCTCCGTTCACCTCCAGGGCCACGGGGGTCAGCGTACGACCGGCCACAGTCAAGGCGAAGTCCACCCCTGGGCCGGGCAGGGGGGGGCGCGGGCTCAGTGCAGGCCGCCTTCGGGCCTCCGGGGGATCCGCCCCCCCACCTCCGCCGGTCCTCATCCCCGGAAGCCCCACACTCACCGAGGAAGTCAGTTCGGACCTGGCGTCCTCCGCGCTGCTCAGCGCTCAGGCCGGCCTCCAGGGTCAGCACGGCGGCTAGCGCCGCCTCGGCCGCCGCCTTGACGCGCTGCCGCACGATTGCCACCTGAGAAGCCTCCGCCAGGCCGCACTGGGCCAGCGCCGCCTGCAGCGTCCGGGGCAAGGAGCTCTGATGTCG